AGCACAGCCTTAGTAAACAACTCACACACACTACATGTTCACTAAGAACACTCCTGGAAGAGAATTCCACAGCAATCAATCAAGGAGGAGAAATTTTAGCATGCACTACTTAGTAATATTTAAACAATAAATCATTTGCAATTTAGTGCCAATCTCAGGAACCATATATTTTTTGTGCACATGCACTCATTCATGTCTGTGAGTGTGGTATGCATGTGTCAAGGTGCTTGTTGGTCAAAGGAAAACCTCAGGTGTCATTCCTTACCTCCTACATGTTAAAACTGGGGCCTATGTATTTCTCCAGTGTACAGCAGGGTATACAGCCTATGAGGTTCCAGGTATGCTTCTACTTCCGCCGCCTACAGCATCATGGGTATGTTGGGATTGAGTGTGTGCACTGCCGAGTCTGAGTTTAGGTAGATTCAAACTCTCAAGTTTTCAAAGACATGTCATGAGCTCTTTACCTACGGTGCCATCTCGGCAGCCCAAATGTTTTTAGTATGTCCTTGACATTTGTAAAAATCCAGAAAGGGCAGATTTTACTCTAGTGAATAACACTGCATTGTTTTAGACACGGTTAAATGCTTTGTTGACCTTGAAGACATGCAAGCCAATGTCAGAAAATATTTATATCCTTTAGAAGAAAGAATTTTAGTAAAATTTTATTATCATTTTATTGGAATCTGTCCTTTGTACAGGATTAGGTAGTGGCAGTCAATGGCTTATGTTTATGTACTGCATTTTTACAGACCAATAGCAGATAGGCTTTCACACATTTTTCCAAAGACACAAGTCATTGGAGTGGTCAACAGGGTCATAGTCAATGTCTTACTTTTCTTTTCTTTGCGTGGTCCATTTCTTCTGCAATTTGCTGCAAGACAGACTCCCATTCAATTCTCAGAAACAAGTTCCAGAGCCATAACTTTGTAACATCATAAACTTCTGCGAGGTGTTGAAACTAGGACACATTTTGACTATTCAGTTACAAAGATAGCTGGGACCTTTAGGGGACACCTGTCAGTGCTAGACCTTATCTTTTCACTACATCTAAGGGAAAAGGATTTTTATTAATTCTCGATTTGGGGGGACTAAATCTGAAAATAACAGCTCTTAGGCTTTGGTTTCCCCAACAGTGTATGCTACAAAAATTTGAATAGGGAAGTGGTTAATTATTAAGACAGAGAACAAATATTCAATATGAAAAGAAAATCAATCACTTTACCTGTGATATCAAGAGTTACTGAGATGCTTTGGTGGTCACCTGTAACAATGTGAAAGGGAATCCAGCATTATCCTTGTCCAGCATTATCCTTCAAGCTCAGTCATCACTGGGGTGGAAGGCCCATCCTCACATGAGGGAATCTGACAGTGCCCCTCACCAGTGACTTTGTTTTGGGGGATGGGTGTGGGGGAGCCTATTTTTCTTTTAGAATCCCACTAACAATAGTTCTATTTCACTGGTTTATACTCACCTAAGGTAATCACTTCCCCCTCTTGAACCTTCTCTTCACCTTTGGGTTTCTGTGACCTTGCAGATACTGATCAGTCAAGGAAAATAATTTTGAAGACACAAGTTATCAACTGGGTTTGAAGTACTTTATATTTTCCAGGTGTTTTGGATTGCCTTATTTTTGCCAAAAACGCCAAGACACAAAATTTATAAGTGATGCCTAGAGTAGATCAATTGGTGAAATAAGTACCTAGTAATAGTGCCTATTTCCTAGGATGAATATGATCCTTTACATACTGCAATCTTCCCCTTTGTCTCTTATAACCCTCTCTGTAACTTCCACAACCTGCAGTAACAGTCTGAAGTTTTCTGGGTTTTGTCATCACTTTTTCCTGTTTCCATTTTGCAATAATCCATGTATTAGGACAATACTACCATACAAAATTGCATCTTATCTAAAAAACAGCAGTATTTTCTCTTTAATCATCCAGTTCGAGGGGATCCAACATGCTCTTCTGCCCTCTGTGCAGGCAAAATACCAAAAATAAAAATAAACTTTATAAAATGTGTATGTGAACACAAACAGAACATGTTAACTGTCCTGAAGACATTTTTATTATCAGAATAAAATGAAATGAGTTTGTCTGAAATTTAAGTCCTGGGGCTGGAGAGATGGCTCAGTGATTAGGAGCACTGACTGCTCTTGTAGAGGACCCAGGTTCTATTCCCAGCACCCACATGGCAGCTATGAACAGTCCTTAACTCCAGCTAAGCAGGTAAAAGGCACTGCCACCAGGCCTGAGTTTGATCCCTGGGACCCACATGATGGAGAGAAGGCCTTAAGTTGTCCTCTGACCTCCATATGCAACTACAAACACACATACATGGGCACAAAATAGATAAATGTGCCAGGCATGGTGGTGCACACCTGTGGCCCCAGCACTTGGGAGGCAGAGGCAGACGGATCTCTGTGAGTTCAAGGCCAGCATGGTCTACATAGCGAGTTCCAGGACAGCTGGGGCTACAGGGAGACCCTGTCTCAAAAACACCAAATAAATAAATAAATAAATAAAAATAAAATACAATAATAACCCCCAAATACCCACACACACACTTAGAAATTGTTTTTGTTAAAAGAAATTGATTTCTCTAGTGCAGTATAAGTGGTGAGCCAGATCAAATGCAGAGAACTGTGGATCCTACAGAAGAACTCGGCCAATGGAAGATCACCACCCATCAATTCTGTTTCTCTACAACCCACCCTGCTGCCAGGAGCTATGCATCAAAGAACGCTGGAGAGAAACAGAAGCAACGACACAACAAGCATGAAAGCTCACAGTGCTACACAGTCCACAATGTCTATGTGCAGAATTGAGAGGCGGACAACCCAGAAGCTCCTCAGTCTACATAGCTGGGTGCCTCGGAAATACCATTCTGGCAGAGAAGACCTGGAAAATTGCTACAGTCACTGCTATTTAGTCCATGTTAGAAGGCCAGTGGAGCTGCAGTCTACCACTGAAGGACTGCAGCAGCAACAGCAGCAGCAACAGGATTGGGCACTCTCCACAGAAAGAAAATATGTGAAGGCAGGAAACAACTTTTTTCCTCAGACATCTTTATTTAGGTGCCAATCATATGGTTTTCCTGTCACAATGAAACATGCCTCTAGATGTTATGACAGCACACACACGTAAGCCAACTCATCCCTTGTGTACTGGCAAAAACACCATATATAGTAACTATATCTATCAGTGAGAGGTGCACATATACCCTCACAAGTGTGGACATTGTCACAGGCCTCTTATGAGCATTTTCAGGCAAGTGAGCAGGTAAAGCTGTCAAGAAAACTTTCACTTAACTTGGTATCATGTAATTGACCTTGACAAGGCTACTCATTTCAGAACACTGATGCAAAGACCTCAACTAAAGGCAATTAGTTTCAAGTGTACATCCCCCTACTGCAAAAAAGTACTGGGTCTTTTTTTTTTTTAATGGGCTATTATTAGTAGCAAAGTGTGTTGACACAGGCCTTTAACACCAGTATATGGGAGGCAGAGGCAGGTGAATATCTGTCAAGCAAACCACGAAGATTATTGCCACTACTTGTGGTTACATACTGAAACTAGATGGTACGACCCTACTGCTGAAGTTTGCAGGACATGGAGAAATGATGCCGGAATAAGGTGGAAGCTTCCTCTATACTTGCTGGCTTACATGGAGCCAGGTGAAATACAGATTGCTGAGGGCGAACTGTCACCAATGGTCCTGCTCAGCTATAAACCCCTTTTCTCCAGTACCAACAAGACAGGCAGAATATGCCTTCTGGTGCAATAGTGGCACAACTACTGTTTGAGTTCAACGAGCAGCTTTCAGATTGGACTTACAGCCCACTCCATGGGAGAAAATTCACATCTGATATTATGAGCCAGGAACAAAACTGTACCCAGAGTCGTCACAGGTTCCAGCAGGAAATTAATTGTTATTATTTTGTTATGATGTCCTTCTCAAGTTCCCTTCTCAACATTTCAGTTCATGTCTAATAGGTCATCGCTATTGTCAGCTGCACTCCATCATGCAAGGAAACTTCCTTTCACAATGGATGGGACAGCACAAAGACTCAGAACCAATGATGAAGATCCTGAGAAAAAGGCAGTATTACTCTGTCACACTGGCCCAATGTCAGCCACGGATGGACTTTTATATCTGACAATCTCTACCCTCGAGGATCTAAAAGCATTACAAAAACATGTAAAAGCCAGAGGAAGGGGTGGACTGTTGTGGATCAATTTCCTTGCAATCGATGCACAAGGCTCAAAAAGTAAACAATAAGGTCTGAAAAGTTCAAATTTCCAAGTCTCCCACAGCCACTCCACAAGGTCACAGATGCAGTAAACAATTGTGAAAAGAAGAAATTCCCCAACTAACCAAGCTGACTGCCAGTTGTGCAGACATCTCAGATTGTTGTTTCCATGAGTCATCACTTAGGCTGGATGGGGGTTTTGGTGATGCAGCTGTCTGTGCTTGTCCATGCTCCTAGAAGTAACCCCCATAAAATCCTTGGTTCACCGAATTGAACTTTGGTAGAATTTTGTTTTTGTGTGATTAGTTTCCTATTTCAATACATTTCTAGGAATTGTCTCCAATGAGTTATTTGACATTGAAAGAGCACTGTGGTGTGAAACTGCTCTGCCATGTAATTTAGAAATCTTAACAACTATAGGCATTGTTCACATCCACACGGCTCTTTGCCATGATTAATTTCCTCTTGTAATTGTGAGGAACTATGAAATGTAAAGATTTCCATTCTTTGCATTGAGAGGGTTTTCCTCCAGTATGAATTTTTTCATGTTATTTAAGATAAATGTACCACATGTAGGATTTATATTGCTTTCACTCATTGGGTTTTGGTTTAACATGAATTTTCACATAAAGGAAGGTAACTGTGACATCTAAGGTTTAACCACCGCGTTGGCACTAAGTTTTCTAAAATAAGAATTCCTTCATGTAAAGAAGACTGTGACATCTAAAGCCTTTTCCACACTGTTCCTATTCACAGGGTTTTGCCTAGTGTGAACTTCTCATGTCTTTGAATATCACTGTGACATCTGAAGTCTTTACGACATTGTTTACATTTTTCTCCCCTATGAATTTCTTCATGTAATTGAAGAGAACTGTGACTGCTGAAGGCTTTACCACATTGTTTACATTCATATGCTTTTTCTCCAGTATGAATTTTTTCATGTGCATGAAGGTGACTGGACTGTCTAAAGGCTTTGCCACATTGTTTACATGCATAGGGTTTCTCTTCAGTGTGTGTTTTTTCATGTCTTTGAAGATAACTATCACATCTAAAGGCTTTACCACATTGTTTACATTCATACAGTTTTTCTCCAGTATGAATTTTTTCATGTGCATGAAGATGCCTGGACTGTCTACAGGCTTTTCCACATTGTTTACATGCATAAGGTTTCTCTCCAGTTTGTGTTTTTTCATGTGTTTGAAGATAACTACTACATCTAAAGCCCTTACCACATTGTAAACATTCATACAGTTTTTCTCCAGAATGAAGTTTTTCATGTAACTGAAGAGATCTGTTATATCGAAAGGCTTTATCACATTCTTTACATTCATATGGTTTTCTCCCAGTATGAATTTTCTCATGTACTTGAAGGTAACTGTATTGTTTAAAGGCTTTGTCACATTCTTTACATGCATATGGTTTCTCTTCACTATGCGTTTTTTCATGCCTATGAAGATGACTGTGACATCCAAAGTCTTTTCCACATTGTTTACATGCACAGGGTTTTTCTCCAGTATGAATTTTTTTCATGTACCTGGAGAGAACTGTGATATCTAAAGGTTTTATCACATTCTTTACATTCATATGGTTTTTCTCCAGTGTGATTTTTTTCATGTACTTGAAGGAAACTGTACTGTCTAAATGCTTTATCACAATCATAGGGTTTCTCTCCAGTAAAGGACTTATCACATTGTGTACATATATGGGGTTTTTCACCACTGTGAATTCTTTCATCTCCTTGAAGAGAAGTGGAAGAACTCAGATGTTTCCCACATACATTACACTGATAATGCTTTCTTACCGTTTGAGTTCCTCCAGATGAGTGAAGTGAACTGCCATCAGCAGAGGCCTTTCGATATTCTTCGTATAGATTGAGTTTTTGGTGCCGTGTGTTTCCATATCTATTACCAAAAAACTTTGGAAATCAAAGTAATTTAAACATGTCTTACTTTCAAAAGGTCCATGTCCATTCACAGTAGGAGTTCTCATACGTCTTTTACAGCTTGGGAGTGAGTTAGAGTTCTGTGACTTATTTCCACACTCTTCATGCTCATATGGTTTGTACTGAGAGTGAGAGGTAGAATGGTTATTAAAGGGTAGATGCCACATGGAAACATCTCCACACACATTGCTTTCACCTGGTGTTAGGTCACTAGAAATTGTCATGATCATATTGTCATTTGCTATCCACGTGAAAGTTTCTCCATTCTGATGATCTTTTTCATGCTCACAGAATGTCTCAACCATCGAACTTCTGAAAAAATGACAAGTACATTAAAAAAAGGTGATTTACTAATATTAATTACAAAGTATAGGTCACATACTTTTCCCCAAATTAGGTGAAGTGTATGTCTTCTGCCGTATCTCAAAGGTCAGAAACTAAATAGATTGATAATTCTACAATATGGTTCCCACAGGGCTATGAGAAAACATGACGTTTGTTAATATGACATCCTAGTACTGTGTGCATGCGACCTGCCCTGCAATCACTGAATAGGATTCTTAAATTTAGGTACCCGTTACATTTCCTAATGATTAAAAAAACACAAAGTTGTGCTTACTGTTTACTTATTCATAAATGCTCACATAAAAATATCCTCAATGGGAAGCTGGAGAGCTGGCTCAGCTGTTAAGCACCATTGCTGCTCTTCCATAGAACCAGAGTTTGGTTGCCAGCACCCGAGACAGGTAGCTCACAACCTCTTGTAATTCCAGCTCCATGAGTCCAACAACTTCTTCAGACCTTCTTGTGTACATGCACACAGGTATGTAAAGCTACACACACACACACACACACACACACACACAGAAGTAAATAATAAAATAACCATAAATCTTTAAAAATTACTTCAAAAAACTTTGTTTCTGTTTTCGAATTACCTTGGATTTTTTTCCAGAACTTTTATAATGGTCTTTAATAGTCTCATCTTCACAAATGCTTCCTAAAATGTAGTCAAAGAAAATTTTGATGAATTAGAAATTACCAAAAACTTACTTTGTAGCTTTAGTGTCTATATTGCATGCCTGAATTATACATGACATTCTTCCCTTTCAGTATTCCAAGTCACAGAAAAACATTACTTCCAAGAAATGCTTCGGAAGGGAAGATGATACTCTTACCTATAAAAGTGAAGTTCCTGCAGGTTTCCAGCATCACATCTCTGCAGAGATTCTTCTGAGAAGGATTCAGGAAACCACACTCTTCCTGGGTGAAATTTATGGCAATATCCTCAAATATCACAGAATCCTAAACATTCCACAAAATCAGTTGATGATATGATAACTGGATTCTGTAATATCCACAGATTTTGTTCCATGGCACACAAGCTTGTTTTTTTATTTTATTTACTATTTTATTTTACATGTATGAGTGTATTCCTGCATGTGTGTGTGAGTGCACCTGTGCAATGCAATGTTTGTGTGTCAGAGGGTAGGCCATGTGGGTGCTGGGATTCAAACCCAAGTCTTTTGCAAGAACAACCAGTGTTCTTAACCGCTGAGCCATCTCTCCAGCCCTGACACATACGTTCTAATGTAAGCTTTGAGTGGTTCTGAAAAGACAGAGCCCCGGAGAGACACTCATCTTGCTACTGTGCACAGCGCACAGGATATGCTGCTGCTCTGCCCCAATTCTCTTCCTATAGCGCATGTCTACTTCCTGTCTTAAGAATGTGTGGCCACCTGATGTACAGAACAGAGGGCAATTAGAATGGAAGAGCCTGCTTGTCCTTAGAAATTCCTGCTCACAATGTTTAAGTATAGACAGCATGAGGAAATTTTACATTCGGTGCAGATTGCATGAACATAAATGATAAATCACCTAGTATAAATGATTTATACAAACACTATGATATATTATGAATGGTTCTCATTCTGAAAGTCTATTAATTGATTCAAAACTCACAGACATAACTAGAGGATCAGCTTCCGTGATTTCAAATAACAACAGGCATTGAGTGTAATGAGCTTCCCTGGGTGCAAATTCACATATGCTGTCACAACTTGCTAAGTGGAGAAATGAATCCATTCTATGTGGTTACAGAAGAAATAATGTATATGCTGCTGTAAGTAGTTTACTCAAGCACAAATTTTTAAAAATTACTTATTTTTATTTTATGTGTATAAGTGCATCGCCTGCATGTGTGAAAATGCACCTATGTTGTGCAATGCCCGAGCAGGTCAGAAGAAGGCGTTGGATTCCCCGGAACTGGTGTTACCAAAGATTCTTAGCTGGATGTGGATGCTGGGCATAGAATCTGGGTCCTTACAATCGCAGCCTTTGGTCTTTACTACTGATCCATCTCTCCAGTCCCTCAAGCACAATTTTAATCCAATAACAAATATGATACACAGTTAATATTTAAAGATCCCAAAACAATACTTTAAAACAATTTTTTAGGCACTGTCAAATGCGAATAAAGTAAGTATAAAGGTGACATTTGCTTCAGAAAGAACTCACTGTAGTCAGTCATATTGACATGTGTGTACTGTCACGGCTGCATCAGAGAATGAGATAGAAGGTTCACATGAGGCAGAATTACAAGTCAGCTTATGCAACAAAGCAAAACAATCACCTCAGGAAGAAAAGAGGGCAGAGAAAGGACTGGAATGGGAAGGCAGAAAACAGGGTCAACAAAATTCATGATTCCATTTTATCCTACTAAGAGAAAATTCATGAATCACCAAACCAAGCAATTTTGTACTGAATAAAAAATTGACTAGGCTCAGCAAGTATCTAGCAACTGTCAAAGTCAAAGATGTTTTGCTGAACACACTTCAAGGACTACCAAGAAATAAGGTAAAGTCAAAGGGCCAAAATCAATAGTCATGCTTTAAAAATCAGGTGACAGAGTCCAGGGAGCTGACTCAGTATGTAAAGGGTTGCCACACAAGTTTGATGAACTAAATTTGATCCCTAGAACAAACAAAAAGATCAAAAGAGAAAACAGAGAAAAAAATTGTTCCCCTGACAACTGTGACATGCATATTATACTTACAATATTTTAAAATAAATCAGACCATCAACCTTTATAGCTTGACCCTTAGTGACCCATAACATAGTACACACATCTTCAAGCTAATTCCTGATGAGCAATGGTTCACTACAAGATAAGCACTCTTAAACAAGGTGAGATTTTCAACTTCAGTCTTAATGAAATGGCATGAATTGCAGCACTATGCCAGATAAGGACACTGATCTGAGAAAAATTACTGTTGGCTGGACCTTCACTTTCTCCAAAAACTTCTCCACAAGACCAATGCAAAGCTATTGCCTTTGTGAACATCACCTCCAGATCAGTCCAGCTTTCCATCCAGACACCCAATAGGTGGCTCCAAAATGAAATTGGCTTTCACTGTCACGAAGCAGAAATCCATTGTTCTAAATGGGATGCCATGATTTAGAATGCTAAGATCCTTTTACATAACTGGGAGATCTGTCGCACCTACACCTGCCTTTTTCATTGGCACTACACATAATTGGGACCTATGATGGATCTTGCACCCTCCATACCCTGACCTGGGGAAGGCTCAAAATCTGTATAAATTTGAACCTCAGATGTTCTCATGGGCAGATGGTACCACGTCTGTTCATACACTCATGACACTCAAATGATTCTGCCAAAGTCTAGTTTAGTGAATTTACTGCAGTTACTTACAGAACTATGGGTGAGGGGTTACTTACATGACCATGGCTGACAGAAAGACAGCTGTAACATGGCACCCCCCTCCCCTAGCATGTGTAATGGCTCACAGAAGCTCCATCTAGAAAGGTTTCTGAAAAATTCATGGGGAATTTCAAGTCCAGAGAATCAGCATCTTCACTATTTATTAGCGTTTGTATGTTCATCTTTATATGTAGGTATAATGCTAGTGAGGCATACTGTGAACCTTGTTTTGGGAGATTACTGAGCCTCTGTTGGGGGACCCTGCTGCTAAGGTTGTAGTCCTCCATGTCCGGATAGCTCTAAGGGGCTTGACACTATATGGAAGGACTCCCTTTCTCAGTGGGGGCCTCCTGCTCTCTGCCTGACTTACCTGGAAAGTGCCGCCAAGCACCGATGCTTGGCCTCATTTAAAACGTGACCTTTGGCATAGTTACCTGGAGTAAAAACTACCCCCAGGTTTTTTCTATATGATAATTAGGCATTGCCTGATAGTCAGATGATAGGAGCCTATTGCCACATGTAAATAAAGCATACTATGAGCACCTATCAGCTGAAGCTTTGGCTGCTGCCTCCACACTATATTTTCCCTAACCCCCACTGAATAAACGGAGCTGTTTCACTGAATCTGGAGCTGTATCACTGAATATGCCTCCCCGGAAGGGCTTTCTTCCATCAGTGCTCACTGGCCGTCCTGGCCCTGATCGTTGCTTCTGCTCCCTTTGTTCTCGTGGATCAGTGGCCAACAACCCACAAGGGGGTTGAGGAGAGATCCCTCAAGCCTCCTAAGTTTACTTTAAAAAGTACATTATTTTTCTTTATGTGTAAATGAATGGCTCTAAGTGAATTCCATGTATTCCCTCAGATGCCAGAAGAGGATGTCAGATTCCTCTGGACCTGCAGTTACAAGCAGTTGTGAGGCCCAGACATGACCACTGAAAAGTGAACTCTGGTTCTCTCGATGAGCAGCAAGCTCTGAACTGCTGAGCCATCTCTACAGCCTCTTAAATTCACTTTTTAAGGTTTGTAAACTTCTCTACTACTCCTGTCACTAGAAAATATTAATTTAAAAGAAATACATATGAAACCTTCCATCCCTACCTCAGGTTCTAAGTTTTGTTTTGTCTGGCCATTTTTCTGACATGACCTCTGGTGACATCTATCACAAAGGAATAAAGGTGTAATAGGGAAAACACTTGTTCAGCCCATCCTAAAAGCTAGATTTTGAATCAGTCATTAAGACTGATTCAATGCAATCCCTGTACAATTCCAACAAAATTCATCACAGAAACTGACAAAATAACCTCAAATTTCATTGAGAAGCACATACACACACACACACACACACACAAGTGTGCACACAAAGCAGGATAGCCAAAACAATTCTCAACAATAAAAAAACTAGAGACATAACCATCCCTAATCTCAAATAATACCATGGCACTGTAGCAACAAAAACAGATGGCACTAGCATAAAAACAGACACACTGTTCAACGGAATAGAAGTGAGCATTCAGGTTTGAGTTCACATAGTTACAACAACTTAATTTTTTAATGGGGCCCAAAATACACACCGGAGAAAAGAGAGCATGTTCAAGAAATGGTTCTGGTCAAACTGGATTGCTACACGTAGAGGAATTAAACTAGATCCCTATCTTTCACCATGCACAAATCTCACTTCAAATCGATCAAGGACTTCAACATAAGACCTGATACTCTGAATCTTATAGAGCAGAAAGTAGGGAATATACTGGAACTAACAAGCTCAGGAAAGGACTTTTTGAACAAGATTCTTACAACCCAGGCATTAAGTCCACAATTGACAAATGGGATCTCATGAAACAAAAAAACTTCTTATAGCAAAAGATAACATCATTTGAGTGAAGAGGCAACCTCCAGAATTGGAAAAATTCTTTACCAGCTATATGTCTGACACAAGGTTAATATCTAGAACACGCGAAGAACTTAAAAAACTAAACATCAAAAAACAAACAACTCGATATAAACTGGGGCAAAGAATTGATCAGAGTTCTCAAAGATGAAACACAAATAGCTGAGAAGTATTTAGAAATTGTTCTATATCTTTAACCATCAGGGAAATGCAAATTAAAACAACTTTGACATTTCATCTTATCCCAGTCAGAATAGCTAAGATCCAAAACACAAATGATGACAAAGTCTGGCAAAGATGTGGGGAAAGGGTAACACTTATTCACTGTTTGTGGAAGTGCAAACTGGTGTAGCCCCAATGAAATTTTTGTGGAGATTCTTCAAAAAGCTATAAATACATTACCCAAAGGACTCTGCATCTTACTACAGAGATATCTGTTCAACCATGTACATTGCTGCTCTGTTCACAATAGCCAGGAAATGGAAACGATCTAGATGTCTACCAACAGATGAAAAGACAATGAAAGTATGGAACATTTACAGATGGAGTATCTTGAGCTCTTAAGAAAAAGAAATTATGAAGTTCACAGTTATATGGATGTGACTAGAAACAATCATCTTGAGTGAAGTAACCAAAACCAAGACAGACAAAAGCCCCATGTTCTCTCTCATAAGTGGATGCTAGCTTTGAATC